ATTAATGTAGAGTATAATAAATCCAACTGCTTGAATTTTTTTTAAATGTAAAAATTAAATTTTAACATGTAATTAAAAATATAAATAATTTTATTATCAAAATATATAATTTATTGTTCAACTATTTAAACTCAGATACTTAAAGTTAAATTCACAATCTTAAATTATAAGGATTTAATTTTTAAAATTTTAAACACTTACCCTGAAACATCAACAATTGTAGTACTATTGAAGTTAGAGCGGTGAATGGCATTAATTTTTTTAGTAGATGATTATTGTTTTAAAAAAAAAAAAACAGAGTATATTTTGGGGACATGGTTGGGTCCAATAATGTTGGCGGAGGTCATTTCTGTTGGGTTGGATTTCTAGAAAGTGAATGCATACGTATTTTTTGGTTTTCCCAACATATAATTCTGCTCCTTCCAAAAGGAAATGCATTACATGGTTTATGTTTGTTTAAGATTAGGAAGGTGATCCAATCTTACTTGCATTATGTATTTTTATTTGTTCAAGAAAGGTGGTCCAATTTTAATTAATTGCATTGTGTTATTTATATTTGTTTAAAATTAGATGGTGGTTCAATCTCACTTGCATTAAGGTTTAAAGTACAAGAAAGTAAAAAGAGGGAATTGGAAGAAAGAAATTTTATTGAAATTGAGAGACGTGTTTAGAGAGTTACATATAGTAATTTTTATATTTTTTTTAGGATAGATAATATAAAGAAATAAATTATTATATTAAAATAATTAAATAAAATTTACTTCATTATATTATAATTAAATATAGTATTTAATTAATCAATCACCAATATAATTGAATCTTCCTAATTACTTAACACAAAGGAAAGGAGATTGAAAATGTGAGTAAAGGAAGAAATCAACCAGAAAGCATTGCTTGACAAACTGGTTCCAGGTTTCACTTTTCATAACGCCTGATGGGTCTAGTAATTGAATCATCTCAATCTCACGGCTCAACTTGAAGTGTGCGCTCTCAAACCGCTTATTTCCACCAGGTGAAATTTCAAAGATGAAACCAAAATCAATGTGAACAAGCCTCCCCGCGCTGCATTAAGATGCATATACAGTTACTGCATTTTATACAATTTCACTTATCCTACTGTTAAACGTATAAAGAAAAAATAAATAAAAGACTGCTATAAGAAATTCAGGTCCTGACATCACTTATACTGTTGTGCTCCCATCAAAAAAAGGCATATGATAACAAACATTTTGGTTTTTGGAAAATGGTGAAACTTTGATCTTAATGAACGCAGATTTCCATGCTAAATACAAATTGCAGTATAATACTAAATATGCGAGGTACTAAATAGTAGATATATACAACATGAATTTTGTACATTAATTTACAACAAAATGTTTGTATATATCCGCTGCAACTCTACTGTCCAAAGCATCAAACATAGAACACCCTTACACACACATAAGTTTGGAAGTGAGCAGAAAAACTGTAACTCTGCTGTACATTTCAGTTACAAATTTCAGCTAATGATGGGCGCTCAAATGGTTACTATCTTCTTTTTAATTAATTAATGAACCAATCAATATCCTACAAACCAACATTAGGGAATAAACACTCACCAGCAAAGAAAAGGGGATTTTACTTCCCAAAAAAAAGTAGGTATTAAGTATGTATCAAAGTCTTCATGTACTCAAGAAGACACTAAATCAGAGCAGAAAACGAAGACAAGATAATACAATTCTTGCAAGGTGATCAAAATAATAGAAATTCGAAAATCACCAGCAGTCACATTTTCAAGCTGAGACATCCAAAAGAGCTATAGACATGTAAAGATACAACAAGCATACACCTACAGACCAACATTAGGGGAGAAACACTCACCTCAATTATACCTTTCTCTGGGCCAGTTGTGACAACACCACAGGGAAATAAGTAGAGGTTAAGTCTGACTGCTTCAAATATGTCTCTTACAAGTGCTATTACTTGAAAAGCAAGAACATCTTGTCGACAATCATCTCCAACCTTGAACAAAACAAAATTCAGTTACATTAGGGGAAAACATACCATAATTATGAAAAATGTAGCAATCAATGAAGTCAGGAAATAATATATTTTACAACTGGAAACATGCAAAAGCACATAAATCCAAAAACTATAGGGAACCATACAGCATGAGAGCAATCTCATTAAAGAGTAGTATTAGCTCAACAGAAAAATTACATTAAATTGATTTTTTTTTTTATTTTATTTTATTTTATTTTTTTGTTGTTGTTTGGATTATCTAATAAGGAGTTATACAGCCAGAAGCAGTCATCCCATTTTCCAAGTCTCTATCCTCCATTCAAAGGTTTAAATCTAAGCCGCGAACTTGTAATGGTCAAATTAAAATAAAATTTTGACAATTTAGATTATCTTAACAAATTTAAAGATAATTTTAACCAAAACCCAAATAATAAGAAAGCAAAATATTTGTAGTACTTCGGTTTTGTCATTGATCACTAAATTAAAATTTTACATAATTCATAGTAAATTATACCGCGCGTGCATAATAATAATTAAAGAATATGTTAAAGTTAATATTATTCTTGAACCTTGGTTTGGGGCCAAGGTTATTTTTTTATTGTAATTTAATTAAAGAATAAGTTACTGTTTGATTATATAATAACACACTATAAAACTCTTGGTAGCCCACTTTATTTATTTTTTTAATTTTCTAAGTATGGTTATAGTCATTAAAATTATGTTAA